TAAAACAGCAAAAAAAAAAAAAAAAAAAAAAAAAAAGAATAAACAACTTGACTAACAAGGACCAGAACCACGAAAACCAACCAACCAACCATCACATGAGTCTGGAGGTGGGTGGGTATCGCCAGGTGCAACCCTCACTCACCTTGAATTGTCCTCTTGAAGAATGCCTTGCAAGCTTCACAGGATGCTACCCCATAGTGGTACCCAGACGCGATGTCACCGCACACTAAACACAGTCTCTTGGGCATCGAGTTGAGCATGTATTCGCACTTGGTCTGGGGGTCTTCAACAATGGTGCTGGAGCAGTCATCGTACAGTTTCCGGACAGGCCCACTACCTCCTAGGATAGGAGCAGAAGGGTAGAGAGGTGGCGAGTCAAGTCCGTTCTGATGGCCGTTCATGGTTGAACTGTAGCTCCCGCTGGCGTCTGAAGAGCCACCTGGGCTGTGGTGGTTGACGCTGTCCGTCAGGGAGGCCGGGCTGGAGGGTTCCGTCTTGATGAAGGACGAACAGCTGGAATCAATGTGTCGATCTTTGTTTGACATTCTGCAGAGAAGCCTGAGGTTTAGGGAGGTGCAAACAGAGAGAGAAAGAGGAGAGAGTGTCAAACAGAGATACCAAAAGAGGTAGAAACAAAGAGAAGGTGAAACAGAGAAAGTGCAAAAAAAGATCGAAAGGAGAAAAAAAAAAAGAGAGAAGAATTCATACGTTAAAGACATTGCTCTTTGAGAGTGCTGCCTAAGAACTAGGGACTACACATCATTCTCTAGTCAATATCTCTTGTTCTACAACAAGGTAATCAGCATAAGGGCGTGACAGGGTTACATCAAAGTGCCCAGACAGGCCATAAACAAAAGCTCTAACTGATCCAGTACCTTTCATTGTACCTTTCTCTTGGAGAACCACTGTCAATATCTAAATCAACTCTCTAGATTCTAAATTTACCCATGGAAGAGGAGTAATTTGCAAAGTCCATATCACTTTTAAAATTACCCTTATCCTCACTCTACTTTTCTCTTCCATTTTCTGATGTTGCAGTCATTTTATTATGAGCAGAACTAAACTTTTATTGTCAAGACCGAACAGATGATTCCTCAGCTCTGTAATTACTGTTTGTCAGCACGCTTCCATAAGCATAACTGTGTCTTTTATTGATCTAAGACACACAGGGAATATATCCTCAATCACGTTGCCTCTTTAATTAAATTGCTCTATTTCCTAGACATTTAGCGATACAGAAAGACATCAAGGATAAAATGCTAGCCAATATTTAAGGATTATTTCCTAGAGCCCACAAAACAGTGAAATGATCACCAGCACTGATTAATAAACATGTACATGTGTTTACATGTGTCCGTGTCTACATGTGCGATTTGCCACTGTTGAAGAGAGGAATCACTAAAAGCCATTTGAGCCTTCAGTATACCTGTGAATCCATAAACCTGATACTTTATATTCAGCAAAGTAAGGATGTATCAAATTTTGCCCTGAAAAAATGAGATTTGCCATGGTCTCTTTTTCTCCCCTTCCTCTGGTCTTTTAACATCCTACCTCCTAAAAGGAAATATGATGAAGCATCTAATCTAACACACTCTCTCTCTTATCTAGAAGAAACAGACTGCCCCTCTTACTTTGTCAGACCCGTAAGTGATTAAATTTCTGAAGAGGTAATTAGATGAAAAGATATAATTGGTCCTATTTTCTTTCCGGTTCGCCGTAGTGCAAAACCCCTTTTAGCAAAGTCTCTAGGAACCTTCTGAGAGCCCACTATAGAAAGAAGAGGTGACAGTTGAGCAACAAACTTAGATAATTGCTTCCCAGTGGAAAGTTGATTTCTGGGAATCCCACAGGGTCATGGTCATTCACTCGAATTTGGGGGAGTAGTCACAGGATAACCGAAGGGATGCAATTATCTCTTTCACTATAAATCTAATGATATTTGATCACAAATTTCATGCTCTTCTCCGGGTGCCCCCTTCCCCCACTGTTCTGTCACTTTCAGACGAAGAAAAATATGGTTATTTCCTATCAGGGAATGTTCACTGAACGGTTCCGAGAAGGCGGTCTCAAGAGCAAAGCATCCAGAGCAAGAATTTGCCTCTTACCTAGCAGATTTCCCATTGGAAGTTTTGTGCTGCTTTCTAAAGTAAAGCACACTCAGGATGTGAAGAAAGCAAACAGGAAGGAGAAATCCTCAAAAATATCTTCTTGCTTTCGCCCACCCACTTGGGTTGTCCTTTAGTCAAGAGCTAGTGAAAGAAAAAATATCCCCCTCCAGCCTGAACCAGGCATCCGCTCCCTCCCGCACCTGCTGCCTTGTCCCGTCACTGTTAATGAGCTCTGTAATTAATAGATCGCTCTCCTTGTCTCCCAGCGTGCACCCTGGGCTAAGCACTTTTCCTCAAGTCAACGTTTGAAAGAAAGCGGGTCGGCACTGACTTACAGCAGCCCTGCAAATTCCTTTTAATTTAAAGCACTTACTCTATCACTTCACTTATTACCTTATAATTACTGGACTGCTCGCACATACATTATGATCTTAGACTACAGTTAGAAGTTATTAGGGTACTAAAACACAGTTGCTCCCCTTTCCTCTCTCTGGCACTGAATTTCTCACAGCCATGACAATTAACTCTTTCGCCACCTGCCTGCGAGGCACCATTTCTTAATCATTTTTTCTTTTTCCCAAGGAGAGTTGCTCTGAGCTGCTTGATCACAAAACAGACCATGCTTTCCCTGGGCCCTCTTTTTTCTCTCTCTCTCTTCTTGGATTGTCTCTGTTTATCCCAATTTTCTTTCCCTCGGGCTTTTTCTCACGGACTTCTAAAACGTGCAGAACTCTTGACTGAGAAACAAGGCGAGGAATCACCCTCCTATTTATGGAAGGGTTATTTGCAAAGTCACCAAATGTTTATGTGTCAAATGCATGTTGTTAAGGTCTTTGAAAAATTGGGTGTCTCCAGCCAGCTGTCTCCTCGAAAATCTCAGCCCCTAACTTTGCAATAATCTGGATGGAAGCAAGAAAATTCAGGAAGTTCAAGTGGTCAGGGAAGCCTTTGGACAGTGGCAGTCTCTTCTCCTACACAAGTCTGGCCATTGTAGCTGTAAAGGAAAGTGAACATGCTGGATCAGTGCTGTAGGTTTTACATGTTTCTTCTCAGACATGAACTGCTGCTTCCTTAATGAATACCTTTCTGCCCAGTGGAAATAATAATAGAGTTGCCATTTATCAGGTGCTTACTACATGTCAGGCATTGACCTGAGTACTTTATAAATATTACCTCATTTAATCCCCAAGACAACCTTGTGAGGGAGGTATTACTCTTTAGGAAACAGAGCCTCAGACATCAAACAATTTCCTGAAAGTCATACAGTTTGGAAGTGGAAGAGTCGGGATTTCAACGCAGGGCTGACTCCAAAGTCCAGTGCGGAAATGTCCTGAAGCCAACAGAGAGTTTTTCAAGGTGTTCACTGATGTTTTTTAAATAGCCAAGCAAAGAGGGGTAGTGCTGGCACACACAGAGAGGCTCACCCATGAGTGGAGGAAAAGTGGCTTGAAGAAGCCACCACGCTGGCTACAAGGCTACCCTGTTGAGTCACCCTCCCCAGGGTGTGGAGTGACACCGAAACAGAATCTGAAAGAACACAGTTGTCTCCTAATTACTACTCAGATCATTACACTGAACATTTCCTAGATACCATTACGTTATACCCTAAAACTACAGCGGGTCTTAATTCTCTCCCTCTCTGTCTCTAAAATTCTACAGCTCTATTATTCAAGCCTGAGATATTCACAACTATCTATAAATTCAATTGTCAGCTGGTGGGTTTTATTCTAGACTTCACTTCAGCCTAAAATTAGAGGCACTAAAATTCACATTAACTCTAAGAGGAATGTAGTGAATAAGACTTTATTTCAAAAGAACACCTTTTTGTCAGAAAGAGCCATTTTCAAGATGATGGTTTTATCCGGAGCCAAAGAGAATAAGCCCAATTCCACATTGTGCTGTTAACGCAGAAATTTTAGGTCACATTGGATTAATAAAAATCTAAATTTAGTTAAGAATTACAAATAGAAATAATATGTGTTGGAAAAATTGGGGAAATATTTATTTTAAAGGCTACGTAGAGTTGTTTTTATTTTATTATTTTAAGAGAAATGATGGGAGACACAAGGGAAAAAGAGAAGCAACTTTCTAAAAATCTTCTCTGAGTGAACACCCTGAGAATAAACTGGAGGGAGAAATAACCATGTCAAGAATAACATTTATTTTCCATGTAAGAAACTAAATTTGAGGGATATAACAGCCTTCCAGAGGCCAGAGACATTGCAGTGCTTTAGAAAGTATTTTCAATACAGTTTGAGGTATAGTCTTCTGTATTCTATATATATTCTATATATGTTCTATTATATATGTTATACATATATACATATATATACACTTATATATAAATTCTGATGATCCTGCTTCAATATAGGAAGTTCTTGCCCAGCCTTGCCTAAGGGTTAGCAAGAGTAAAATTTATCTTTGGTGTTAGATACTAATGATCAGGCAAATAAAGCTTCTTGGTTGCTGGACTATTTAAAAATGTACTTTTTGACAGTTGATTAACTGTGCGTACAGGTGTTCATGTACAGGGAGAAAGTGACAGACAAAAAGAATAAGAATCAATTAAAGTTGCTGCTGAAGGGGAAAACAAGATAATCTGTAAGTTAATATTCCATTTATATTATAATTATCAAGCTTGTTTTCAGAGAGGCTACCTAGATCCAGGTAAATGTGTGACTATGAGTGAATTGCTGTGAATTTCTGGGCAGTGTGTAGGTGTCCAGAGTGGTCTACATTGCCCAGAAGGGACTTAAGCCTACGTTTCATAGGCTTATATATGATTAAATATTATTAACCCTTTCACCAAACTCTTGGGTTGCCCAAAACATTCGCTCGGTTAGTGAATACGTTGTTCAACAGTTCTTCGTGAAAGTTAAAAATGTGTCTTTTAGTTTCACCTAAACCCGAACGAACGTTTTGGCCAACCCAAAAAAAGTTCGTAATAAGCAGCTGCATTTCACCTTTTGAATTTTATACCAAACCTGAGTTCATTTGCTACTTTATTTCCCTCCTAAAAAAAGTGGTGCATCAATGCAACACATGCGTACAGGTCTTCTTTGGCCTTCCTGAGTTTAACACCAAGGCAAGATTTTTTGAAATTTTATTATACCTATTTCAGTGACAGACACCTAAACAGGCTAAATAAATGACAAGTAAACAACTCACTAGTTTATTTTCTTCCTTGTCATCCTTAAGGGCCAGAAAAGGTACCCATCATCATTATAAATTCCAAATTGATAAATTGAGATATAAATTTATCAATTTATATCTCAAATTTTTACATAACAACAATGGAGCCAGCAAACCTGCGAGTTTACGAATATGAGAAGAGAGAGAGAGAGAGAGAAATAAGAAGACAGAATCCTTAGTTCTCTCACTGAATCAGAGAACTTCAGGGTTGGAAAGGAAGGTTATCAAAAGTCCTACTGCTGGGGCTTCCCTGGTGGC